ATCTGCGTTGTAGTAGGGTATGCCATGAGAATGTACACTAAGAAGGGATTTTTAGAAATTTCCCCGCGGGGGGTGAGGGAGAGAATATAGTTTTCATCGAGTACTTAGATCATTTATACTTTAAAAATTATAAAAATATTAATATAAAAACAATTTTTTAAATACAGTATATTTAATCATAAAATAACAAAAATAAATAAATAATTTTTAAATTAAAAAAATAATATTGAAGTAAAATTTAAAAAAATATTTAGAATATTCTAAAACCAAAAACTTATTTAAAAATTACTATACATTATTTTAAAGTAGGAGCTGACGAATTATTTTTAAGTGTATTAAATTAATTAATTTATTGTTTGATTATTATATGTTTTAAATATATCAATTAATTGATATATTATCGGGAAGTAGTATTTAAAATATAATTATTTAAGAAATAAATTATAAAAAATAACGTAAATATAATTTTATGATGATTGTTCGGCTTTCCTGCATAACTTCTGTAAAGTAGAAGAAGCTACTCTTACAGGCGAGAAATGGAAATTTAGATAAAAATAATAATTACAAAAATATAAAAATGTTATTAAAAAAATAATAACGCAATTTATAACGAAATATAAACGTTTAAGCATTATTATTTAAGAATAAATTTATATGCTTGTATAAATTTAACTTATTGTTCGCTGTTTTTACTTACAAATGCCACCTGAATAAGAAGAGAAAATGTATCAGAGTAACGGGAGAATCTTTCTCACCTGCCTGATTTGAAATAAAACAATTCTAGAATTTAAAAATAAAAATATGTATATATAAAAACCTGTAATAATTCACTCATATATTCTATCTTTAACGCTTCTCCTACCCAGTATAGCTTAAGTAATTACGCATTCAGAGCAGCATTATACTCAGGAACAAATATAGACCCGCGAACACTGTTTAGTCTTCCTTGACGTCAATCATGTGCTGCCGTGCGCTTCTATGACGCTTTCTGACGTCATACTGGCGCGCCGAATGGCGTCACGCCGTTGTCATTCGACGTCAGCACAAACTGAGACCACAATGGCTTGACGTCATCGTCAGTTCATATAAATGACAATTTTCGAGTAATTTTCGATGGCATATTTGGTCTTTTTAGCATAATCAATGCTTCTAGAAGATTTTATTTAATTCTTATCCATGCAAATTCTGCAAATTCCTAGTTTTATCCATCTTTAAGCAGAATATTTTTTGCTGTTTTTTAATACACCCTTTGCAGCTCTAAATTATTATTTTTAAATTAAAAAAATGTATAATTAATTATACTGGATTATATAATAAAGATATTTACTTTAAAAAAATTAAATATTAAAATTTATTACTTGTTTTATCATTATTTTTTAATCATTATTTTTTACTAGAAAAATTCAGATAAATTTGATTTTAAGTAAATAAATAATACTCATATGCTCCTTTCTTATATATATTTTAAATTTAATAATTAATATTTTACTAATTAATTTTTNTTATTATAACCAATAAATATATTTTAAATTTAAATTATTTATAGAAATTTTTATTCTAAACAATTCTGATTTCTTTTTATAATTTAAAAATTAAAAAAAATTATCTTTTAATACAAATATTAAAATTACAATTACAAATCAAAGCAAAACGTATATAATTTAAATAATAATATTGTTAAAAAATGGAATAAATTATTCCAAAGAAGAAACTCTTATGCAGTCGAACCTCCTATAACGGCACCCTCTAAACGGTGACCATTTTTTCAGAAACGTTGAACCAAATTGCATACAAAATAACCTCCAAATAACGACCACTCCCAACAGCGGCCATTTTTTTACGTTCCAGTTAGTGGCCGTTGTTCAGAGGTTTCACTGTAATTTTAATTCTAAAAAAAAAAAAATAATATTTTAAGCATAATATTTAGTACGCTTGTCCTTAAATTTTAAGTTAAAAACAATGATTTTTTTTATTAAAAGTTTTTTTATTGCGATCAATAAAATTTTCAAATCATAAAAAAGCAGAGATTTTTAGAATAAACATATCTGCTGTTTTTTTTTAATTTTTAAAATAATTTTTTAATTCTAAAAAATTTTGCTATTTTTTATGATTTTCAAATAATATATATATTTCGATACAAATATTGAAATTACAATTATAAATCAAAGTAAAATGTATATAACAATAACAATAATAATAATATTAAAAAATCTAATAAATCCTTCCAAAAAAATTAGTTTTTTGAGAAGAATTTATAAGATTTTTTAGAAAATATGACATCTTTATGATGATAAAATTTATTTAATAAATAATAATAATAATAATAATAAATTATTTGATTTAGTTTCAAATATACAAAGAAAATCATTTTATAGAAATATTTTTTGTACATTTTTTTAGATTTTTTCCCCTCATATTGATTTTACATATGTACAAAAATTGGTATATTAATCAAGAGTTGAATATATAGTTGAATTAATCTTACCTTATCTAAAGTCATTATTTTTTCTTTGATTAGATATATTTGGCATATAAAATCTAGATATTGGGTAAAATATTTAAAAAATAATTCTAAAATCATTATAAATTTAGTAAAATATATTAAAAATAATATTTAAAAATATTATTTTTTAATGATTTTTTGAACTTTATGAAAGTTTCATATGCTTCATAAGTAGCATCCTTTTGATTTACAGTGGGATCTAAGGATAATGCATGATATAGAATGCTCTTTAATTAGATTCTCTTGCATCTTGGCATTGAAAATGTATAAAAATCTGCATTTAAATTGAAACAAGTATCATCATTATTAACAGATATTATTGTGACTTAGTGCTTGATTAATTTGGATTTATTTTTTATTTTTTGGAAATTACGGAATAATTTTAAATTGTGAGCAGCATTTTAGTAGAAATAATCTTGCTTTATTTCTAATTTTCATCCATATCCTCACCAATCGTTAACGGTAACAATTTAGCACGTAGTTTGTCAACCGGTAGCTCGCGTCCCCCACAAAAGTTGAGAGATACATTTCCGAATAATGCCAAAGTCTTCTAATTAAGAGAAAGGTTGGGAAGCGCAGGTTAAGCTAGCGAAATATCGTAATAAATGCATCTCGCGGATTTCTTAAACATACAAAACTCTAACTCGTATAAACATAAACGGAATTCACTTTCATCTAATGCCCGAAGGCCCCTAAATTTAGATAATTACAAAAAAAGAAGAAAAAATATATAAATTCAGTTGTAAAAGCTGGCGAACCGTCTATTGGTTACCATGGCTACTTGACGTAAATCTTACGTCATCGATGTTAGGAACCCACTAACATCGACACACCAAAACGAAAAAAAGAAAGAAAGAAAGGGGAAAAAATGAAAGAGGAAGAGAAAGTTAAAAAACAGCATTAGAAATTAACAGGGAAGTTAATTTTAGATAAAGGTTAACAAGCGCTAAAGGTCGAAGAAAAAGATTTTGCTAAATCCAAAGAGGTGTGTGTGTGTGTGTTACATCGATCCAGAGAAACACGAACTTCAATTGTGGCGCGTATGACGTCCGAAAGACGTCATCGCGCGTCATAGTCCCACTCACGAGCCAGCGCAGAACGATGACGAATCACATTGGACGTCGACAATTCGCTCGATTCGGTCGTCAAAACTTTTACCAATAAACATTATCTCGTCCGCCATCGACCAATACACATCACTCGAGCATATAAAGCAACGTTTAAAGAGCACCTCATCATTCAAAACTCCCGGATATAAACCGAAAAAACAATAGGAAACAACACTCAAAACAACAGCAACAACAACGGAAAAATATATGTGTGTGTGTACATATATATATTAATAATAATTATGTTCCTTTCCTGGTCTGCAAAGCATACCGTATTTTAGTGTCGTCGACAATATGGAGTTACATACGAGGAGCCATAAGTGAAGTGTCATAACGAAACGGTGGGTTCCACACACCAAACCGGTAAGGCCTTTTAAAAGTACTTTTTGGGTACGAGATTTCTGTAATGCGCATGCGCGAGGTGGGAGCACAACATGGCGGCGGACACGACCAAGAGTGGTGTCTCGACCACAACGTCTGGTCTTGTGCGTGTGGGTTTTTACGAACTGGAGAAAACAATTGGCAAAGGCAATTTCGCCATCGTCAAGTTAGCCACCCATATTATCACAAAATCAAAGGTAAGTGGCCCAAAATATAATTTAAATTATCTATCAAACCATGCGGCATGTCGTGTGTGTGTGTCTCTCTATGTGTGTAGTATGTGTGTAATGTGTAGTATGTGTGTGTGTGTAGTGTAATGTGTGTAGAATCGAGTGTCGAGTGTGTATGCACCTAATGAGTCGTGTCATTGGGGGTGAATACACAACTCGAAACATTAAGATGTGTTGAAACTTACAAAGATATTTAATGTGTTTTAAGTGTTTATTTGTATAGAAACGTATATACAGAATCTACAATCCGTGACATAACTTTTGTGTGTGAACAAACTTATTTATTAAAGTAAGAAAAAGTGGTTAAACGGGTTGTGTTTTAGTACCGATTCGCATTGACAAATGGTATTTTTTTACTTAAAAAATTTTAAAAATAAAATATATTAACGTTATTCCAATTTTGACATTTCTATTATTTATTAGATTAAAAAAGGGGTGATTATTTTTATTTATTTATTATTTTTTTACGTGTTTAATTGCGTCATGTGATAACTCCAACACTCCGTTGCGTCACTGGTTCACAGACCTGATGATTTGATTACGTAGGTCAATAGGTGATGTTGATATAGATAAAGGAAAAAATTACAAAAAAATAAATTAAAATAAAATAATAAGTATCTTTGTATTATTGAAACAAAGTAAAAAAATCGATTATACGAATCGATTGTTGATATATATATTTTTTTAATTTAAAAATTAATCGATTTTTTACTGAAATTGATGAGTAAATTAACACGTGGTCGCCACGAAAAAAATTAAATAAAATTATTTTAGGTATTGAAATTTACATATTTAGTTTTTTAGTAACACGTGTGAAGGAAATAATCAATTTTAGTAACTGGAATTGATTTTTTTTTAAATTTATTTAAGAAATTGATAAGTTAATGTTTGTTTCACTTACTGAAATTTCGGTGTATGAAACAATATGAAATAAACACTTTATTTTATTTTTATTTATTATTTTTCGGTGTTTGAAATTTATCAGCGTAACTAAGAAAATAATATAGATTTTTCTGTGATTGAAATGTGCACATCAATGCGATTTTAGTCTGCGAAACACAGTCTAAACAGAGAATATGAGAGGTTGTATTATTGAAATATAAGTATTTATTATTATTTTTTTTTAACACGTGGATGAAGCAATATCGAAATATACAAATTTACACAATTTTTAACACGTGGATTTAATGTATGAAACGTTATAGAAGATGACAAATAATGAAGCTGTTTAATTATTGAAATTTACATATTTTAACACGTGGATTTTAGTATATGAAACAATAGAATATACATGACTTTAATTATTGAAACGTACACGTTTTTATAACACGTGGATGCAGTGTATGAAACGATATGGAAATTTACAAATAATGAGTTTTAATTATTGAAATTTTCATATTTTAACACGTGGATTTTGGTGTGTGAAATTAAAAAATGGAAATGATTTTAATTATTGAAACGTATATGTTTTTGACACGTGGATTTAGTGTACGAAACAAAATTGAATATACAGTTTTAATTATTGAAATATACATATTTTAACAGATAGATTTTAATATACGAAACCAACGTTAAAAAAAAAACAAGCAGGAAATCGAACTTAATTATCGAAATCTACATAATTTCAACACGTGGTTTCTAATATGCACGAAATGAACACAGAAATTTTTCGTGTTCGATTTAATTGTTGTGAAAGCGAACATTTAGTGTATTTAACAATTTAAAACGGGGTTAACTTTTAAACAATGTCTCTATTGACACGTAATTATTTAAAAAAATAAATTAATTAACATATACATAT